CGGCGGCAGTATCATAATCATCAAAATAACCCGTTACGTATACGTATTCGCGTAAAAACACGGCCTTATCTACGACACAGCCTCGCCCCGATTTTTTTTATTTACTGACCGCTACTAATTTACCATAATTAAATTACATTGAATATAATATATGTACATATATATATATATTGCATAATCTTTTAGAGCTTATCTACATATTATCCACGTCTGCAGCTATATTATGGTATAGTACGAATAGGTCGGCTCGATCGGGGTAGGACCACTTTTTCACAGAATACCAGCGTAAAATAGCAGCTTAATGCTGCTGCGTTTCGTATGGTGAGTGTAGAGAACCGGAGACACTTTTTACTGGAAAATAGGTATTCCATATTTGTCCTCACTGATGACAAAACATCTGTATTTTGATTCTTTATTGAGGATAAATGTAGATGTCTATGAGCCACAGCATCCTCTCACCATCAGGTGGACTGTGTTCGCGTTTGTCATCCTCATTCTACAAAAAAAAATCTTGGCCGTTTCTTTCTTTACAAGAATAACTAGTAAGTATAATTAAAATAACATTTTCAGCAATCAATGATCAACGTATTATTTTGTGCTTTTCTATTATCACAGTATGCGAGTAAGCCGGGTCAATCCCCGCCGGCATCAATAAAGTTATCAATTGCAATTAATAGTTCTCATTTACCACGTGCTTGGCGGTGAAGGAAAATATCGTAAGGAAACCAGCAAGTATGATAAATAAGAAGAAAAAAACAGAGTCAGTCATAAGGATTGCCGGCAGAAGTGAAAACTCAATGATATATGCGTATACATGTACACAGGCCGCTATACGCTAGCCTGAAGTCTGACTAGCGACGCGTACACAGGCCGCTATACGCTAGCCTGAAGTCTGACTAGCGACGCGTACACAGGTCGCTATACGCTAGACTGAAGTCTGACTAGCGACGCGTAGTATACATGCTCATGTCGAAATCATCGGTGACGTGAACCTATAAGTTTTTCTCCTACCAAAAACGCTTGACGCGGCTAAACAAGTTTTTACTTCAAAAAATATTTCGATGATATGTGAAGTTCATCAACACACCCTGTGCACTAAGACACTCTCAGAAATGAGAAAAGGCCTGTACCCAACAGTGGGACGTAACAAACTGCGACTTTTAACTTTAATTTAAGTTATATTTATCGTCATGGGTTTAGGTTTATAAGGCGAAGCACTTATGACATTACAAAAACGCAATCTTACGGAAATCTTAATCAACTTAACAAAAATCTACATAGCAAATAAAACAGTACAACATATATTTGGTTCGTTAGCATACGTGCTGTCAGATAGGCGTTTGAACATCTAATTCCTCCTTTATGTGACGTATGTGCTTGAGACAAAAGATATATTATTAGATGGTGCCACGTTCAAAACTTGGCTACAATTTTATTCCCGACCTTAAATCATAAGTGCTACGTCAAATACAGAATTATAAGATTTTTGCTCCTTCTTCCCTGAGCAATAATGTAATAGAATTATGCGTGAAGCTACAAACAAAACTAATTTTACGTATTTATTGCGTTTAATTTAACTTGTTTTACCTTTTTTTTTTTCATCCAATAAAATTAATATTCAAAAGCCTGGGCTAACTACGGCATCAAGACGTCAAACACCTCAGTCCCCTTCGTGACTATGGGTGCAGTCAAGCACCCGAAATGCCGGGAATTAAAAATAAGTAAGTTTAGTCTTATTTAATGTAAAATCAAGTGTTTATTTATAATAATTTATGCATTACGCAAAATTATGATAACGGCTAAAATAAAAATAAAATATAACTCAAAGGTTTTCATGTTTTACATTCACAAATATTGTTACATACGTAAGCATACGTGGTAGAGCCATGCTGCAGCTATATAAGTAGTATGTTTGTACGGCTCGACCGGGGAACGACCACGCTCTCACAGAATACCAGCGTAAAATAGCAGCTTAACACTGCTGTTTCGCATGGTGAGTGTGGAGAACCGGAGACCCTTTTTTACTGGAAAAGAGGCATTCCATCTTATTCCTCACGGGTGACAATGCATCTGCATTTCGATTCACAAACGAGGATAGATGTAGATGTCTATGGGCCACATCCTATTTCTATAAAAAAAAACAAATATTGTTACATAACTATTCAATTTGAAACAAGCGACACACTCATACAATTTTTGTAAATAAATTAAAGTGATATGCGTTATCACTACAGAGGACTAAGATGCCTCTCAGCCTGCAATCACACAGGCTCTCTGTATTGTAGTATGCACTGCTGCTTGGCGCCAGAAATAGGTAAGGCGGAGGTACATACCCAGACATACTTGTAGACAAAAAAGGACTTCTACCACATAGTTTTAGAATATAGCATAGATTTTTAACTACATTGTTTAGACTGGATGTTGATAGACTGTAATATTAAAAAAATGTTTATTCTCGTTAAAATCTATTTTACAAAGAACATTTGGTCGCTACATCATGCTCTACGCATACAGTCTAACATCGGTGCTTATTGTCGGTTCTGATTCTGATAACCCGCTCTTGTAAAAGCCTTCGACATATTAGTTTTATCTAATGTTAAATTATTTATGTTAAATAAATTTTATAAATAAATTAATATTATAATTTTAGTTTTTTTTTATAGAATAAGGGTGACAAACAAGCATATAGTCCACCTGATGGTAGGTGGATGTTAAGGCCTATGAACATCTAAATTTATCCTAGATTAAGAATCAAAATGCAAATGCATCATCCATGAGGACTCAGGTGGGATGCCTTGCTTCCAATAAAAAGAGTGTCCAGTTCTCTACACTCACCATACGAAACACAGCAGCATTAATCTGCTATTTTACACTGGTATCCTGTGAGAGCGTAGTCCTTCCACGGTCGAGCCGACAAATTCGTGCTACAATCACATATTTTGATCAATATAACTGCAGCGTGGCTCTGCCACGTATAAATTCCTCCTCCTTAGTTGTTTATTACATAATATGTATACAACATAATTATTACGTGGTCCAGAAAATTCCTGCCAATTTAAAGGAAAATTGAAAAGCAAGATATTTGGGGAGCTCATAGGTGTATTTGTATTCTAAAACTTCATGTTATTAACATTTCTGCTAATTCAAGCATTGTCAGAACATGGGTTATTTTAAATCAGTGCTTTGATCTGATATTTATTTGTAATAAAAGGGCTACCCGTGCTTGATTTTCAAGGTTGAAATCATCGGCTTTAAACCTAACAAATCACTTCCACACAGTTCTATCAACAGCAGTATCTTCGCTATAATAGTACATAAATCTTGTTTGCTGCTTGTGTGTTCTGGTAAAACTTGATCCATAGATTGCCTCATAGCGGGAATATTTGAAAAGCATAATGATTTCCTATATTTACGCGAAGACTACACATTAAATGAAACTAGTTTTTATGGATTTTATCGCGTTTAATTTATTTTTTTAATTCCCGACGTTTCGGGGGTTTCTTGTAAAAAATTAATATTCAAAAACTGAAGCTAGCCGGGCTAATTATGACATCGGGACGTCAAACACCTCAGTCCCCCCAGTGACCATGGGTGCTGGAAAGCACTCGAAACGTCGGGAATTAAAAAGTTAAATTAAACGCGATAAAATCTGTAAAAATTAGTTTCCTTCTATATTTACCGAAAAAAAAAAAACATTCGAGAGTCTCGTGGAACATTTGGTTGGAACGAAGTTCCTTTCGTAGTATATTATTATTGATAAATGTAGTAAATTATTGATTAGCAAATACAAATAAATTAATTACTAGCGTCATTTAAAATAAAATAATATTTATTTCATGGCAAGATAGGAAAAAGTGCGAGGGACATGGATAACATCTTACTTCCTTATAGCCACCAAGGCCGTCTGCACTACGTCACAAGGGGTCGTGACGGAAAATCTTACACTTTTTGTCGCCTAGCCCCCATCCGCCAAATCCATACCGTCCGATAAATAACTTCGTTCCAAAAACAAAGGCAGTCACAAGGACTGCCGACAGTACACAAGCCGTACTATGACTAGCGACACGTAGTAGACATGCTCATGTCGAGGTCATCGGTGACGCGAACCCATAAGTTTTTCCCCTACCAAAAATCGTTCAACGCGGCTTAAGAATTTTCGCTTCAAAAATGTATCGTTACTAAACTGTTTTCTAAATATTCCCGAAGTACCGTCTTTGAGAATATGTACGCATGTTAATTATTTTCAACCATCTAATATATTCAGATTTGCCTTATTTAATTTTTGATTTTCATTACTTTCCGTACGACCTAATATTGTTACACGCATTCAATTATGCGATACTATTAAAATATGAATGAGATTAATAAGTGATTTCTTTTTATTTTAATTTTTTTGTTTTTATATTTCTACATTGTCATCCGATTCTGAGCCGTGTTCAAAATTTTAAGTCTCCAGGTCATCGAGAAATGCTTGAAATTTCAGTTGCAAGATTCCACCCGAAACAACAGATAGACAGACCAACAAGAAAGTGACTTAATAAAAACGTGTTAAAATCAGATGTCACGTCGAAATCATTCTAACGGTCCATTACTGGAAAAATCCATATGAATAGACGTAATCGCCGTTCTTGGCGGATAAAGTGGCGATTGGGCTGCTGCGAAATTTCACGAACGCACATCGCGGCAAAACTCCCGATACCATTCACACCATCTGGATGCTTGACGGTCCACCACTGTACGTTTCGTACGACTGAGGGACCTTCAAGAAAAGCTTACTCCTTTTAAAAGGTTAGCTACGCACCTGCAGTTCCCACTTACCATCGGGTGAGCCGTATGCTCGTTTGCCCCCTCTCCTACAAAAAAATCCGTGGCATTTTTTTTGGTTATAACTCAGCACAGTAAATTTAAAAAACTTCGCTTATGTTGTACAAATAACTTGTAGAGTATTCCGAGCATGAACAAATTATTTAATTTCAATTGAGATAAACTAAATTACTTACCTAATTGAAATGAGCTCCCGTCTGGGAACACAATGAACCTTTTAGTCCTAGAAAGTACCCGGGAACGTGTTTCATTTCCCTGTGAACCTTCATTTTCAACACAGTACTCATTATTGCAATTTTCACTTCTCGTTACTTGCAACAGCGAAATTATTAATCCAAATAACATGTAGCAACTACTTAACTCCATGGTTAAATTTTAAACGTCTACTGACATTAAAATCTAGTGCAAATTCAATATGTAAATAGCTAGGTATCTATGTGTATATTATAGAAAATCAAATATAGCGCTGTTACTTGGAAAACGGAAGGCGAACTGTCCGGTTGACACTCAATTGCTTTGAACGCAAATATTATGTACAAATGAAACAGCAATTAACATGTTTTGTGTCAAAGATTTTACCGTTATTTCGTTGTAAATTGATTTCTAAAACAACAAATTGGAGCTGTCGATAATAAGAACAAATTTTGCTGGTAAATCGTACACGGTGAAATGAAAATGCCAATGACTGTTACTTTTATGCTCAGTTTTTTTATTTATTATATTTTGTTATAAAACTGGAATGACAAACGAACTCATAGTCCACTAGGTGGCTACTTCAGTCCATGAACAGCAGCATCCATCCTTAATCAAAGCACAGGCACTGCTATTTGACTGCAATAATAGATGAGACGGTGTTTCCTACCCAAATGGACTCTTTAATAATATAATTTTAATGAATATTACAAAAGCTAGTAAATAACAATTTCACACCAAATGCAGAAAATTATACAACTCACGCGTGGTTTTACAATTGTGAAGTTAAAATGTATGACAATAACTTTAACTGTGCTGTACAATTAACATAATTTAATAATGGATTCACATAAACTGAAATACACCGCTGCATTATGTTCAATAAAATGTTATTAACGAGTTTTTACAATTAATTTATATCATTTTAGTAGTTAATTTTAAAATATTACATCACTAAATTGTTTATTATATATTATACTAATACCTAGCAGAGCAGGCAGACGTTGTTCTGCCCTTTCCGACGACCATATGTCCTAAAAAAAATCCTTAAATTCACAATAAAAAAAATAATTGAGGGTCACTAATCGGGATAAAAACTATCCTATCTCTCAAGTTGGACCAAACTGCACACATTGTGAAACATTTCATTGAAATCAGTTCAGGTAGTTAAGGAGTTCATCGCTAACAAACAATGTGACACATAATTTTTATATATAAAGATAATTTAAAATATTGCCGTATGACGTCAGCTTAAGAAAATCCATTAGCCAATTTCATCCCCATTCAAACCCATACGAAGCCGAAGTAATTCGCTAATTGCAAAATATGATTTCAAAAGTGTATAGCATACTCTAGGTGGTAAAGCAGGTAATACGACAAGCCCTAAAGTTAAAAATTACAGCCTAGGAGGCCGTCCCACTGCTGGCCACAGGCCTCCTCTCATTTTTGATAGGGTTTTAGGGCAAGCAAATATTCGCCGTGTTGGTAAACTTCACATGTCTTCTAAATATTTTTTTTCTATTTCTCAGACATGCAGATTTCCTCACGATGTTTTCCTTCACCGTCAATCACGTGGTAAATCAGCGCTTATAATTGTAATTAACAATTTCATTGGTGCCGGCGGGGATCGAACCCGGGCTGCTCGCGTACTATGAAACTTACAGCGAACGCTAACCATCTGAGCTGCCACGGCTCCTATACGACGACCATATATAGCATTAACTATTTTATCGTACATCAGGACAGCCTACATAACCATTAACTTTAAGATATTGTCAAATTTTGTTTCCTAAATTTTGATATTTATCTTTTACTGTGCAACAAATACCAAGTTTTCTAAATAAAAATATTTCTTTTTTGTTCCACTGAGCTGTTGCATGCCAATACAAAGACGATCGTGCGTGCATGTCTGTAGTAACTTGCAAGATGAAAAATTAAATGAATTATCAATACCGATCAACCTCCAGTACGTAGTTTTCATGCTATTATTCATTACAATAAAACGATCATGCACGGTTAACACGTGAAGCATATTATTGCTGCATTACCGTCTATGGGCAACCTTACAATATTTCAGTATCGCTTTGCTTCTACATAATACCAAAATATATAAATATTTTAAGCTTTATTTATATTAATCAGTATGATATATATTATCTGTATTTGTCTTTTCGTTTCTTAACAAAATAGCTATTAATTTTTCTCTCAATAATTAAATGCTGGCGTGTTAAGGTCAGCTAAGCGGTCGTTACATTCCGGATACAATTTCTCGCACGATTCTGTAGCTTTTGATGCTATGTCGTATTCTTCCAAATATTCATCGGTATCGCCAGACTGAGGTAACCTGTAAAAATATCGAATAATTTAACTGTAACAAATACATCATCTAAGGTGAAATTGCCCTAGATCATCTGGATGTGCTACATTCACCAAGTCAAACACAAACTGGGCTAGCGCGTTCACATCTGTTTATTCTTTCTGATGTCTTTTAAATATATTATGTGTGGTCACTTTACAATCATTAATGGAATCAGGCGTTACTTTGTGGAAATCCATTATTATGGGGTTGTTATAAACTACTTTGCTTAATTCCGCGTAAAGAAAGAAAATGACATGTCCTGCCCAGTTTTAAGGGGACCCCCCCCTCCACCCCACTACCCCCATTACTTTACAATCAATCGAAAATAAAAATAAAATATTTTTTGCTCATACTGGTAAATGACTGATGAATTATTACTTTAGTATTTATAAAATCAAACTAAGTCCTTCAGAATTTGAGTAGTTATTTCATAGAAGTTTACATTTTGTTGCAAAATTAAGATGAGGGGATGTGCATACGACACGGGAAATAGGTATGCCGATCTCTAACTCCTAAAATTGCAAAATGAAAGATACTAATACGTACGTGAATACAGCTCTCAAGATTTCTTGCAAGAATTCTCCCTGAGGATGGTTCTGAGTCTGCGCGACCAAACACAGTGTTTTCAGCAAACATTGTCTTCCGTCTCTACCGAAACTAAAAGAAAATTGTGAAATTAATGTTTCCTGTTGATGGTTTGAGTACTGTTCAAGTAATAATTATATATATATTGTATAAGATTTCGTTGTATAAACGTTGACGTAAATGGAAAGTTGGTCATAACGACTAAGTAAATGATAAAGTAATAAAATAATCAATAAAAAATGAATTGAGAGGAAATATGAATTTATCACCCATTTCATCCCCGGAACTATCTTAAAAAGAGCGATAAAGAAAAAGTTTAAATAATAACTCACGACCTTTGTTCGTGTATGTGCCAGATCGGCGACTTCGAACGGTCTGCCAGGCACGGCGATTGCGGTTAAAACTTCTTACAGTGGACGAAGCCCATGTTTAGCAGTGGACTGTGGTAGATTAACTACTTATGTATCTACTGTACCCTGGCTACTCTTACTCCATAAACAGAACGAGTTCTTTTTTCTTTTCTTTCTTTCTTTTTTTAGAAAGACGTTACCCCCACACTAGGATTTTCTCCTGTGTCGTGGAGGCAGTTTACAAACATAAATTGCACAAGGACAAACATCCAGACCCGGAACAATTATTTGTAGGCCATTCAAATACTTGTTCCATGCGGGATTCGAACCCGCGGCCCCCAGCGCAACAACTGATTGCTAAGCCACTGCGCCACGGAGCCGTTCGGTTCTCTCTATTATTTAAAAACCTTAAATAGGTATTAGGTATTTGTTACCTTAAGTGAGAAGGTCCAAAGTCAGTTATAGGGGTTGTGAAGACGAGTGGATTTTAATAAAATAAATAAAAAGCACTTATTAAATAAAACATACTTATATTCATAGTTTAAGAGGCAGTGAGCGGTAGGCTTACGGTATTTCAATAAGCTTCATGGTTTTTGCAGTTAACCTTACACCTTTCACGTCTGAGCGTCTCTATATCGACCGCCGGTCAAACTAAAGAGTCCCCGTTTCATGTACCTCAGGTATATGGGATTAACTGCTTAAAAACTAATTGACAAACTGTAAGTCTGCCGCCGCTCACTGGCTCTTAGACCATAAGCATACTTACATAAATTAACTCTTCAATTACCTATGTCACCTGTAGGTGACAGAGGGAATTGAAGACTGTCATTTAATTTATTTTGTCAAATTCATTCAGTTCATTCATTAAGTCAAGTTTTCTACACCAAATAAAAAATATAATGAAGGGAATAATATAAATAGATGGCAGCAACGCTCTTTTTACTACTTGTGGTAAAGAAGACTGTAACGACGAATTTTTTATACACTTACAGAAGGAGATGACAGCCCTCAAGATGCAGTCAGATATGGGCCTAGGAGCTGCGGTTATTCTGGAACTCCACTCCAAATTACCAAAAGAATCGGGACCGTAAAACTTTTTTACCAGTTTACCATTACTAATGAACTTGCCAGAGCAAAATGTTTAAAATTCTTGCAGCTAAATGGCATGACAACAGTATCATGGTCATTGCATCTAACTGGTATCGATTGAGTCTTATCACAAGAGATGATCATATTGAGTTGTAAATAAAATATGATTGAAAATTAGCGTGGTTTGCCTAGCTATTATCACTACATGAGGATACGTCTACGCAAAAAATAGTGGTGGTATCTTGTTTGCTTTTGGTATAGATGCTGTTTGACAAGATAACTGAACTACGACTTTCACAGAAACGTTACTTCTCTCTACCTGCAAAAATATGATAAGCATACAACCCTTTATTATGCTTGTGGAGTTTTAGTCCAGATTAGAGTGCCTGGAGAGGTGAGGTCTGAACGTATCGGCGATGACCATGTAGAAGTTGTCTGTTCGCAGCGGCGATGTGGATATTGTCATCAACGTACGCGAAAAATGTGCGCCAAGTGCAATATCGGTTTTCATCTAAAGTTCTAGTATATGTTCCATGGTAATAAAATGCTTCTTTCTTATATGAAAATAAATATTCCTTTTATATAAACAGATGTTTTATTCCTACAGAATGAAATTGAAAAACTTTAACTTTATGAGCTGTTCAAACAATGTGTCAAAAATGTGTAAAAATATCACCTGTAGGTGACACCTCTATAGAAAAAATAAGTGATTTCTAATATTTACGCGAACACTACACATTTGAATAAAACTAGTTTTACGGATTTTATCGCGTATATTAATATTTTATATTCTCTTCATTATGAGTACTTTACAGCACCCATGATCACGGGTGGGACTGAGGTGAAATTATTAATTTTTAATCTGGAGGTAGCCGTGCTTAACTATGATATTGGGGCGGGATATGGAAAACATAGACATTAGAAATTAAAGAGTTAAATCATACTTATAAGAAAAAGCTTACACCGTTCGACAGGCCGGCAAGGAACCTGCAATTCCGCTGGTTTGGCAGATGTTATGGACGACGGTGATCACATACCATCAGGTGAACCGTATGATCTTTTGCTTTCTCTTCCATAAAAAATAAGGTTTTTAAAAATGTTACAATTCCAACTGTTAATATAGAGAAAACATTAAAGAAACAATTATAAAAAAAGAATTAAATAATGCTGAAAAATTTGCCACGCAGTTTTAATATTAAAAATAAATCATATCAGCGTACCCTTGTAACATTGTCTCTATTTTATGATACAGTGAATCCCGGCTGCTCCTGTGAAATTCAACGCTATGTGCCTCCATCTGCTCGCCTTTCAAAAACTCGCGTTTGCGTTTCGAAGCGTGCATTTGCCTCCTGTCTATTTTAAATTCGTCGGAAGCTCCGTTTTTGAATTGATGCGAATTCGAGTCTACGCTTCGCTTGGCAAACGCTGGATTCACGATGAGCCTTCTGTAAGTTTATGTATCGGATTGTTGTTTGTATATTGCATGATCAAATCCTCTTACATGTTTAATACGTAAAGAATTGAAGATATTACAATGAGGCTCCATGCATAAATTTTCGCCAAGTGTTGGTTTTCGTTTTTAAACTTAATTTACTGTTAGATTAAACACAGTAGAACAAACAGTTCTTATTTATGACTTCTTTTTGATTTGAGAACATTTGCACATAAACAAGATAAAACAGTAAATCATAATCTATTTTCACTTCAAATTTATATTAAATGATAAATTATTTATCAGTCTTAACAGGGCACGATCAACAGTATGACATAAATTTTAATTCAATATTTTAAAACTTCCATTTACCAATCTTACAACTACTAAAGACTATAGGCTCAATTCAAGTCAAATTGGTTCATGACCATACTTGGTTGGTATTTAAAAAAAATATATGATGTTATATGAAATACATTGATTTTATGCTAACAGTTTTAGCCCACGTTTACATTATTAACTCAATAATGTGAAATACTTTCCTGTTTTGTGTTTTAACTATTATATGCAAGTGCTTGGCTATTATCCCACCTGATGGTAAGATGCGATGCAGCCGAATATGGTTGAACACACTAGCTATGCTTAACAAAAGCCTATTCACGTTTGCCTTAAAGACACCCCACTTTGTAATCGGGTGAATAGACAGATAGTGCATAAATTCAATATAACGTCTATGCGTTAACATTGACAGGCGGAGACAAACCCACCTGTCAATGTTGCATGGCTGCGCCGCAAACAAAAGCGAAGGGCATAGTAGCCATGGCTTGTACACTCGGAAAGCACATACAGCTAGTTAATCTTGTGCTTGATCTCTCTCTTCGCTCGCGTTTGATTGCCGTCCCATAGAACAATGAGAGTGAGGGAATAGAGTACACTCAGGCTCTTTAATCCTGTCCGATATCTATTCTCCGTTGACCACTGTGATCAAGATTCGGTTTGGAAGACATAATTATTTTTCTTATTATAGTTTAAATAGGGCTGTCAAAGAGAACGAAGAGAAGCCTATGACTAGCTATGTGCACCGAGGTGAAGAGCCGGCCTAAGGTGACCGCTATAAGTAAGTTTGGTGAACCCACTCCAAATTTACGATGGTGAAATATGAAATAGAAGTGATCCCTTGCCTACTGCAGTCGAGATGGAGATGCGAGAGATAAGTTTTCTTATAGTGACCGTTGGTAAGCTGAGGGACTCACCACGGGGGTAAAAGAAGACGCAGTCAAAACAATTTAAACTGTAAAGAATTCTTTAACCCAATATTGCCTCTTAATTCTTACCTCTTATATGGCATTTTGTGTACAACCTTTCCTTCATAATCTGTGAAGTAAATAGTTTTGGTATCCATTCTTCTATGTAAAGGATCAGCACGATGGTTAAAAGGAGAGTACGGGTCTTGTGGTAGTTCAAATGCTAGTGCAGCTGTATTACCCCAAAATATTATATCGCCAATGTTGGTTACTGTTGGATATGTCGTGCAAAATACTGAAACATAAGTGGTGAAATTAACCAAAACTAAAACCTTCGACAACAACAAATACAATGCTTTCATAATTTAATTGTATTGGATCCAGCGTAAGCACGTGCTACCTTAAATAAATATAAACAATAGACGTTTATTTATACCGTAGAACCAGAAACAACTTGGTTGTAAAAGTTAATGTCAGACACCGTACACTAGTGCTTATATGGTCTATAATAAATGGCGATAAGATGATCTCGTTTACGCCAGGAGAAAAATATCCAGATTGGTGACGGGGAGCAGGGTCAGTACTGTGTAGTGTGGAGTAGCCCATACGTATTTTATATGAATGTTCATTGTAGCTGTTAAAAGCAGTATAATTAACGTTATTTTTTTCGTTACAACCAACACGTCTCTCTCTCATTTAACACATTTAAAACATTAATGGCGACCCTGCCAGGCGGTGCGCTGCGATAATGCACGCGCATCGCCTGGCCTAGTTAAAAGATGGGATATAAAAGATAAACATTACTAAATTAAATAATGAAGTGAAATGATAGACAAAAAAATAATAATGTTACAGAATGGACGCAATACCGGATGTGATGAAAAATAAATAAATATGAACAGAATATGCCACAATAATAATTTTACTTGAATTTATTAATCAAATACTTCACGATTTAATTGATATTTTATATATTTATTACTGTATCTAAAAAAATCATAGTGCTATATTAAAAATTAAGCTACGTTTTAAGCACCTAGTATTAACATACATGCGATTTTATATTAAATTTTATTCAGTTTTTGTTTATTGTTTTATATTATTTTTATTACTGTGTCCTACAAAAACGAATAAAATAATATAGTAGATTACATTTCTACGTGCTTAAATTTATCATAGTTTGTCATCAATTAATTTTTCCTTTAGCACTGATGATATATTTCGTTGTTTTTTTTAATAGCTTTTTTTTAATGTAATTGTTCAATTTGAAAAAGATTAAAAACAATTTGGTATTATTAATAAGTGTTAGTTTATCTTTTCTTTTACAAAGGCAGTGAGTCTTAAAGTTATATAATATCCTAATTAAAAATTAAAATTCTTCTTTTCAATTTTTAAATTTTATAATGTTTTGTTGTGTAAAGTTGATAGGTGTTATAGCGATTATTCAATTATTTTCTGTAATCGATATAGCAAATATCATATTTCTAGCAATCCTTTTCGGTCCAGGTAAAAGTAATGTACATAAATGTTTAAAATTCCGTATTATTATTTAATTTAACTTGTATCCATATATGTATGTAATAATAACATTGTACAAGTTATGTTAAAATTAGGTGATCATAATACAATTTAATTGCAAACGTACTTTGGTAATTAAAACAAAGGTATCTAAAACTGCTTGCGCTGCTAGGAGTGGGATTACAATGTGTATATTGATCTGTCTGTTGTTATGTGATTATGTTATTATTATTGAAAATGATTACGTTTGACATACTTTGACTTCTTTGTTCTGTATCTTAATGTGAAAATGTAATAATTTATTTTCGGTTTTACATTTATTGGACTTTCAAATTATAAATTCTTAATTTTTATAATTCAATATTTTCTGGGAAAATGGTAAAGTTTTAATACCTACGAGTATCTTATTTGTGTGGATTATGAAAATAATTACTTCGTTTAATACGATTTTTGAACTCATTATATTACGTATACAATTAATCAATTTAAATTTTGTTATGCCCATATTGTGAGCCTCAATCCCTGACTGATAATGATGCAACTAAATAATAAATACTATACGAGACTATATCATACACATTTATAAAAGATGTGAGTAGATTTATAGCTAAGTTAAGAAATACAGAAATATAAGTGAAAAATATTTATAGTGTGTAGTTGTGAGAGTAAGGTAAAGAAAATTATCGGAGATTAGCATATCCACATACAATCGGCCTGATCAGCAGAGAGTTTGAAAAACCTAATAACCGATTAATTTTAAGGTAGTTCGGATGCGATCAAATGCGGAATGAGTTTTAATGTATTATTTGTGGAAATGTGACTTTATTAAGAACTGTATAGGAACATTGTCCATTATCTTGATCATGTATGTACGCGAGTCGTGTAAGTGAAAGATATGGTACAATTAAATAATAAATTATATGACCTGAAATACTATAAAAGGCAAGAATTGAATGAAATGATATTAGTTATTGTCTTGATTATGTACACGAGCCGTGTACGTGAAAGAAATGACACAAATATTTAATGAATATGTAGCTAAAATGCTATGAAGTAAAATTAAAGATAAATTATGGTTAACCAAATGTAAAAATAAAAAATAAATGAAGTCAAAGAATTAAATGAAAATTATACGGAGGTAAAAATATATAATGAAAAAGTATTATGTATTAATAATTATTAATTATTAACAAGATATATCATCTAGTCCGGACTAGATGATATATCTTGATGACTAAGGATACGAATCAATAATAACGTTAATGTTTACGAAAGTCAAAAAATAATATTATGCCTGATTATGTCAATTATACCAAACTGTAACTACACATTTTCATGTTCTAGAGGGTTTAGCCAAACGCCCTCCTAAAACTAAATATTACGTCTTAGGTGATAGTTTTCATTTAGTTTGCATTTACACATTAATTAAAAAACGTTTAAAATAATATTAAGGATTGTTATAAAAAACATAGCATTCGTTTTTTTTGGTCGGTGGGAGGTGTAATGTGGACTTAAATTATTGTACCTACAACACGCGTCCTATTCATGTAACAATCTTTACCTTATCTTATCACCCTTGATAGGCTCATCAAGTGACTACTGAAAGTCCTCCCCACAAGGGCCAATGAGGTGCAGTGTATTTTATGAGTTGATTAAAAATATTCTTATAAGCCCATTAACAGTTAACTACTGGAATATTCCATCTGTAGGGCATTATAACTCTTTATGAATACATAACCAGAGTACGCATAGACATTAGCCGCTTCCATATTATCAAAAGGAAAAATTTACTAGCACTCCCGCGCTTGCTGATGGATTTGTAATAGTTGTATCAGACGTATCACTCGCTACCTTTGTCGTAACGCCAACGATAGTCTAATTTACCTTGGGTTTAACGTTATATTTATACAAATATATATATATATATATATATCAGATGCTGAACAAGATCATCGTGACATTTTCTAACACCACAGCTTAATGAAATACACATTTGAATTGAATGATGGATTCCCACTTTCTTGTAATTCGTTCATTCTACGAGTATACAGCCTATCCAAAGTCCGTGGTAGCCGTGGTAGTTCAGGGGCTAAGCGCTCGCCGTAAGTTTCACAGTACTCCAGCAACCCGGGTTCGATCTCCGTCGGCACCAATGAAATTGTTAATTGAAATTTTATGCGCTGCTTTACCTCTGGCTCGGCAGTGAAGGAAAACTTCGTGAGGTAACCTGTATGTATTACAAATAAGAAAAAAATATATATATTTCGAAGACATGTGAAATTCGCTAACAAGCTTGGCTACGATAACAGGTAGTCCCAATATCACAGGGCATTTACGTAAGTCCCCGTATAAATACAGTAAAATGAATTTTGAGTCAGATTGAATCAATTGCGTGCGATTTAATTACGTTCATTTATTACAATCACCGAAGAGATATTAACGTAATGAGGTCTGTCCCACTTGAATTATTGTCTGTAATTAACGATGAACCCTGCATAAGTGGAAGTATCCAAGCGTGAAAACGATATTCATGTCATGTTTTAAAATGAGGTTTAAAAATCTTTTTAGTCGAATCACGAAACACTTTTAATGGTGTGTTTATCGCTTCATTGCTTTTTGTCAGTGAAAACAATATGGTATTACTTTATTTTTTCTTATTCATGAGATTTTTACAGCGTATAGTTAGCTGACTTAGGTAGACTTTAGGTGGTAGAAATGCTTTTCTTTGTTAAAGTTCGTCTCAATAGGAGCAGGTGCCTCGCTTTAAGCTATTTCTACATGCTGTGGCATCCCAGGATTATGATGGAACACCTTCCATCATAATCCTTAGATATGATAATGCATCTGTAGCTGAACTTGATATGAATTTGTTTGTAGGTAACCTTAGGCTACAGTAGCCACTTACCATTGTGTGTGGACTGTAAGATCGTTTGTGACTTCATTTTTATAAAAAAAAGAAACTAGACGACATGAAGTGAACACGCTGAGCTACTAATATTTAATCGTATTAATTAAACAAACATTATTTCACTAAAGATGTAAGGCCGCTAACCTCTGAGGTCATGAGACATTTTCTGCATTTTAATTAGTTACATATAACGACACCCACGGGATGAAATGGTTTGATGAACTCTCCAACACAGCTACCACGCAGCAATAACTTTTCAGTTAAATAAGTAAGAAACTTTTGAAATGTTACGATTAAGCAAATAGAATCATAAAGAGGTGAAATTTTTCTCAATGAGCTAGACCGAGCTAAAGTTAAAAGTGAAAGTTCATGTTGCAGCCTATATATTATGCGTCCCATACTGTGCACAAACCTCCCCTCATTTCTGAGAGGGTTTTGGGGGCAAGGAAATGTCTGCCGCGCTGCCCCAATACCCGTTGGCGAACTTCACATGTCTTCGAAATATTTTTTTTTGCTTATTTCTCAGACATCCAGGTTTTCGCCAGATATTTTCCTTTAATGCCGATCACGTGGTAAACCAGCACTTAAAATTGCAATTAACATTTTCATTGGTTTGGCGGGCGATCGAACCCGGGTTCCTCGCGTACTGTGAAATTTACAGCGAGCTCTGAGCTACCACGGTTTCGACAGCTTTTTGATTTAATGTATTTAATCTGTAAAACAAAATACTATATAAATATTATAGCAACCCACAATATATAGTATATAACCAACTAAAACATCATAGTTGTATCATAAATATCATAGTTGTAGCACGAATGGGTCGGCCAGAGCGGGGAAGGACCACGCTCTCACAGAATACTACCGTAAAATTGCAGTTTCATGCTGCTTTGTTTAGTATGGTCAGTGTAGAGAACCAGAGACCCTTTTTACTGGAAAAGAGGCATTCCATCTTAGTCCTCCTGGTTGACAACGCATCTACATTTTGATTTGCAAAAGAGGATAGATGTAGATGTCTATGGGTCACTGCAACCACTTACCATCAAGTGGATTGTGTGCTCGTTTGTGACCCTTATTCTATAAAAAAAGTAGCCATGATACCCCAGTTTATGTGACGACTAATATCTTAATCTACGTAAACCACATGATATATTTTAGGTGCTATATATTATAAAACTGTATTAAACTAAAGAATGGAACCACCACACACTAAAGCTTTATTTCTAGTTAGAACTTTGTAAGAATATCTCACCCAGCTGAAAGGAACTTCCTTCGGGAAAAATGATAAATCTTTTCTTCCTCGACAAAACTTTGGACACATAGTTCTCATCTAATTCACTCGTTATGTTAAATTCTTCGGTCATTGCTTGCACATGTAGCGCAAAGACAGAGGTCAATACTATAAAATTGTATATTGTTACCATTGTTCTATAATTAATTACGATATTTTTGTTAACATTCAGGGCTTTTTGATTGCTTTTCTATTCAAAATGTTTTTACTAAAGCTATGCATAGGTATGTTACTTTCACAAAGTTTTAAAATTACACTAAGCTAGTTCGATTATTGGCCAGAAGTCTCCTCTTTAATACGTTAATCACGATTTCCAAACAGATTTCGACTCCCGTTAAAATCATGTACAGGCTGATTCTATTACAGCTCATGATGTTTATTAAATTTATTTATTTTACCGCTATCATTATGGTCAACGATGTTACCCTTTAAGCTATTCATTATTCTACTTGAATAGGCCACCGCAGATAAATCTGATAATTCTACTGTTTTTTATGTCATGAATTTTACCTTACGGGGTTAATAAGATTTGTTTAACAAAAGTAACATACTGAAGAATTTATTTAAAGTCAACTTTCAAATATATACAATATTTACTACCATAATAAAAAAAAACTAAAACTGAACACTTAAATTATCAAACAGTTCTACTTCCCGCCGTTTAATGCCAGGAACGTGCTGCGTTTCTTCGCTGAGTGGTTATACTTAGCCTTAGAAAAGAACCAGACCTCTTATCACCAGCAGCGACGATCACTCGCGGACGCAATTCGATAGTCGATACACGGAGCGATAGTCTCTATCTACAGCAAATGGCATAAGTTTGTAGTCATCTCTCAAAGTCTTACATTTGCGTCACTTAGTTCAGTTACTAACTTATCTGCCATTAGCTTAAGCTATTCTTAAAGGTCATTTAATCTGTGTTTGCTCTAATTATTGTTCTATCTTTTGATGACATCGTGATATCTTAGAGGCTAAGCAATTGACTGCCGTATGGAGCTCCGCTAGTTCGAATGGCGAACGGAAAAAATATGACCTTCAGATGTATTTTCCGTCTTGGGATCTTTGTGCAATTAATTTTTTTTTGACACGCTGCAGATATGTTATGGTTGTATTACGAATGGGTCGTCTCGGCTGAGGAAGGACCACGCTCTCACAGAATACCAGCATAAAATAGCAGCTTAATGCTGCTGTGTTTCGTACAGTGAGTGTAAAGATCCGGAGACCCTTTTTACTGTAAATGACTCATTCCATCTCAGTCGTCAGGGGTGACTACGCATTTGCGTTTTGATTCTTAATTGAGGATAAATGTGGATGTCTATGTGCTACAGCATCCATCTTACCATCAGGTGGACTGTGTGTTCGTTTGTCTTCCTTATTCTATAAAAAAATATACACAGTACAGAAACAACCGTGATGTGAGAGACAGATTAAAAAAAATTAAAACTACATAAAGGTTTCTAATGTTTCGAAGGCAGTCACGTTAAATTCAATACATTAAAATATGCTTCAGTTTATAAAAAATAAGTATAACAGGTTCTTCTAAATTGGTCGTTATACAGCACGAGAGTAGTCTGTAGTACTGAAATATGCATTTCACTGCTACTGTTATTCCCTCTCAGTTTCTTACTAGTACTTCGCTGATGCGGTCTCTCCCCCGAGTCTTAAATATCTTATTTAGGATTGCAAGATCTTAAACAAGTCTGTTTTGAAATTCGATCTCGTGGGAGTTGTAAGAGGTGACAAAGAGTAATAGAAACAGGTAATGGATGGCAGCATCTTTCATATAGAAACTCAGTAATAATAATTCAAAATTCCGCCTGCAAGCGTGGCAACTATGTCTAGTATTCCTATCCTATCCTATCCTATCTATGAGCGCTAAATATTTATCGCTTAAAAGATTAATTTACATGCAAAGATCAAATAAATGATTAGATCACTGTGATTGAATTGATCTTTATACAGTGTATTTGCCTGTTTGTGACATTTGGCTTAAGATCAGATATGACGGTCACGTTGTTTAGTAAGGAGAGTGCTTGAATAGTGAATCTCGATTTTCAGCTGCAACTTACATGTCAGCAAAATACAAATTATAGTTTTCAGTTCCTTAATTCATGTAACACAGATAAAAAAACAGTGGAATTGAGTACCGTCTCCTTTTTAGAAGTCGGCAGAAAATATATTTCGCAGATATGTGAAGTTCATCAACTCGCATTAAGGCAGCGCGGAACACCTTCTTGCTCTTAAAACCTTAAAAATGGCGGAAAAGTTATTTTTAATTTTTTTTTCTTTTTCTTAATATCTTTAATGTATCGATACTAAAACCAGCCAGATACAAACAGTACAACCAAGGAGATTTTTCATCAATTTAATACAAACAAAATACGAAGAAACTCATGTGACAACTTATCATTTTAAAGCTCTTGGTTTTTCTTGTTTGGATAGTAATTTTAGTTGTCGAACAACCTGTGTACATGACACCTTGATACACTTAAAATCTGGTTTAAGCTTACATTAAATCCTGATAAATGAAGTCTAAATAAAACCTACATTTTATTTTAACCGTTATCTTGTATCTCACTATACGTTTGTTTCTTGAGTCGGAAGTGTATTTTCAAAGTTGTATCTTCATGTAAAAAGTAAGATTGTTGTGTGTTTAGTCTAATACCTTGTTATTTAGTGACCTGGTATATACATTTTCTATTTGAAATCAATTATCAAGTGTCTACTATACCAAAATTTCAACAGAATTAGATTGATGTGATTTTCTTTATAACTGGCAACAGTTCAATCACCACCTTAGACACGCTACAAATTTACCTTAGACATATTTTTTTTAATATTTCCATTTTAACTTTTCCCTTTTAATGTTAACCGCTATGTTGCAGGTCCCTAAAAAATCGTACCAAAATTAACATTCAATATATTGTCTAATACAGTCTGTAATATTCAAGTTCTACTTTTCAAGTCATGTGACCATATAATGAAGAAGCCACTTTAACGTTGTTTATTTTAGGTCAACGTAGAATTATCACCTTTCTTCTCAAGAACAATGTTACTCTCTTGAAATAAAATAAAGTTTACACAAATGCAGTTTCTCCGTCAGCTTCGGATACATATTTGTTAATTATTTCTAATGTTTTAAGTGAAATAAGTGCTTCTAGAAGCTTTTGCAGCAAGTATTGGACAAAAAGGAGCAAAAAAATCGATACACTACATGGACTGTTAAATATATAGTATATGTATAATGACTAGAATATTACAAATTGTAATAATATGTTACTCTTGTCTTATCCTTATAATTTTGTTTGATTTTGGAAAAGCTAATGAGCCTAGTAGAATACAACATAGGCACAGAAGATATTTAAGCTTCGGAAATTTTTCGCATTTCTTCGTAAGTGTTTAATATCCTTTTATTATTTTTGGAACGAAGTTCCTTATCGCACGGTACGAATTTGGCGGATGGGGCCTAGGCGAGAAAAAGTATAAGATTTTTCCGTCACGACCCCATCTGACGTGTATACGGCCTTGGCGGCTATTATGAAGCGAGATGGGATAATATTCATCTCTTTCGCACTTTTTCTTATCTTGCCATGAAAGCAATATTATTTTAAATGACGCTTCATTTTGATAGACGCTAGTAATTCATTTATGTGTATTTTTTAATCAATAATATAATATGTTTATCAATAATAATATACTACGAAAGGAACTTCGTTATAACCGAGTGTTCCACGACACTCACGCATGTTTTTATGTTAACTAATTTATTGACAGCTGAAATTTGGGTGTGGCAAAAGAAGCACAAGATTTGAATAAATGCTGTAAAAATGCGGTCACGAAGGAGAACGTTAGGGCTGAATCTGAAAAACAGGATGAGGAATTGTGTGATAAGAGAAAAGTGTGGTTTGCAAGATGATGTTGTGACCGGGATTAAGAAAGGCATACTTCGGTGGTTTGGTCATATAGAAAAAAATAATGAGGAAAGAGTGACAAAGCAAATCTATATTGCAGATGTGAACGGCAGTGTCGGGAAGAGACGCCTTAGGCGAAAGTTTATCGACCTAATTGGCGATATATTGAAAATTAGGAGTACCCTTAACCGACGATATCCATATATCTACGCATACATATACGTAGATATGTGGATGTAAAGGAAGCGAAAGAGGTGTGTCAGGATTGTGTCATATGGAATCCCTAGTCTCTGCCTACCCCCCTGGGTGACAGGCGTGAGTGTTTATGTATATATGTATGTAACAGCGTAAAAATATCTACTACCCTGTAACATTCCCGTGTTTGGAAAATGAGACAAGAGATGGGCATCTTCCTGATAACAATTAATGGCAAGCGTTGCATGGCAAAATTTGCAATATGAGGCAATTTATGGGTTAGGTCTATTTTCAACAGTGGATATTTAGCGGACTTCAAACAAAGAAGGAAGCTTAGAAATCGACTGTATATTTTATTTTGTATACAATATCTTTGTCAGTGCCCAAATATCTTAAAATAGGGAATGGAATTTTCTACCGACTTCAAAAAGGAGACGGTACTCAATTCGACTGTGTGTTTTTTATGTGTGTTACCTCATAATATTTTTCTGGGTGAACCGATTTCGATGATTCTTTTTTATTTGAAAACTGGTCCTTTCCATGTGGCCCCATATAAATTTGATCAAGGTCGGATTATTAGTTTTTAAGTTATTCTTAATAATTTATATTGAAGTCGGTTGTACAGAATTTCTAATTTTAAATTATTAATTTAACTCTTTAGACGAAACTATGATGCTTCATAGTCCACGCTAAAGGTTAAAAAAATAACGTTTAATAATAAGTAAAAACCTAATTAAAAAAATAAAAATTTCACATTCTGAAGTCGGTGCTAAGACAGTGTATTAAACAAAATTATTAAAAAAACAAAAGTATGTAACCCCCGACTTTAGAATCTTATTTTATTCTTTTTAGTTATTTGAAGATTCTATGCTCTTCCCTTTACTTTTATTTAAATTATTTTTAAAAGGCTTTTATGAAATTAAATGATAATGACGTCGTTATTAAAATTTTCGTACTAAAACCATACTTAACTCAACTAACTATGTAACTAAATAACTATAAAAGCAATAAATAGTTCAATAATGTGACTTCTAAACGGAATAGTACTTTTTTACAGCTACGTTTAAATTTCAAAGCGAACATGGTACCGTGGAATCAGATATTCGCTCAGGCATTAGGTTTCAGAATGAACTGGAACGATCCGCCAGATTCGTTCCACCCTTATCATCGCTTGTACAGGAGAACCGTTTATAGCCACCTCGAGACTTTATTGGACAGGTATTACTTTAGTTTACGAAGCTGCTGTATTGTGTTAAAATATCAAACTAGTAAATAACGATACAATATTAAGTTCTATTTATTATGTGTATGCAATTGTGAGTTTTTAAATCATACGTTTGGAAATTTATTACCGTCACCGTTAAAGAGTCTTGCTACTCGTAACTCAGAGACTAAGCGCTTGCTGTAAGTTTCACAGTATACGTGCAACCCGGGTTCGGTCTCCGCCGGCACCAATGAAATTGTTAATTGCAATTTTAAGTGCGGTAAGTCAGCACTCGGTGCACACGTGCTCGGTGGTGAAGGAAAACATCGTGAGGAAACCTGCATATGTGAGAAATAAGAAAAAAATATTTCGAAGACATGTAGAGTTCGCCAACACTCATTGGGGCAGTGCGGCGGATATTTCCTTGCCAGTTGAGAGAAGGCCAGTGCCTAGTGTTACGTATATAGGCAGTAACCTTACCTCAGGATATTTGCCATAGTTGCCACGCTTCGCAAGCGGGTTGGCAACCATAGCTTCTCTTTTTTGTCATTATTGGGAAGACGCTGCTGTTCATCTCCTGATTTGTTGCCCTTTGTCGCCTCTAGCGACTCCCACAGGATAATATGGGGTAGTGTGTATTCTTACACCGCCACTATTCGGTAAAATTATTACCTTGGAAATAAATTAAGTCATAAATAATATAAAGTTAAAGTTACAGCCTATATAGGTCCCACTGCTGGGCACAGGCCTCCCCTCATTTCTGAGAGGGCTTTAGGGCAAGGAAATGTCCGCCACGCTGCACCTATGCGTGTTGGCGAACTTCACATTTTTTTCTAATTTTTCAGATATGCAGGTTTCCTCACGATGTTTTTCTTCACCGCCGAGCACGTGGTAAATCAGCACTTAAAATTGCAATTAATTATTTCATTGGTGCCGGCGGGGATTGAACCCGGGTTGCTCGCGTACTGTGAAATTTACAGCGAGCGCTAACCATCTGAGCTACTACGGCTCAATAAAATACCTTAAGTAAAATAATGCAATGTAATGGCCTTTATGAGCCCCACTGCTGGGTAAAGGCCTCCTCTTGTTACAGATATGGTTTTCGGGCAAGTAAATGTCTGCTGCACCGCCCTAATGCGTGTTGTCGGATTTCCGACTGCTTCGTTTGTATTTTTGATTTATGTGACATGCAGGTTTCCTCAAAATGTTTTCCTTCACCCTCGAGCAGGTAAATCAGCACTTAAAATTTCAATAAACATTTTACATTATTACGGCGGGTATCAAACTTTGAGAGCTTGTACTACCATCGCTTAAAGTGCTAAGTACTTAATTTAAAGAACGAAACCAATACTATAAACTAAATTATACCAAAGAAAAGTTTTATTAAAATAAAAGATATATCTAACATAAAAATGTTGAAACTGAAATGTATACTTTAATCCGTTATTACTTTTAGGAATGGCCTAGAAGGCTTCCATTGCGTGCGTCGAGCAATTTGCGAAATGGACAAGATCTCGCAACCTAGAGGAATCTACTATAAAATTTTAAAAATGGTTTTTAGGTAAATATTTTAAGAGCAAAACCCATTTTTATAAAAATATGTTTAAACTTTTTTGCTTGTATTAAATAGGCAGTTAAATATTGTAGAACGAATGTTGCGTAATGGGATAATTACGCAACATTCGTTCTACAATTTTTCTAAATAAGTACAACAGTACCTACATTTTGCTGTCATTTTGTTTTGATATTTAATTTAAATATATATATTTTAAGTTACCATAAACATACACATCGTAGACATGAGATTGTATTTTTTTTATAGGATAAGGGTGACAAACGAGCACACAGTCCACCTGATGGTAAGTGGTTGCTGCGGCCCATAGACATCTACATCTATCCTCTGTTACAAATCAAAATGTAGATGCGTTGTCAACCGTGAGGACTAAGATGGAATGCCTCATTTCCAGTAAAAAGGGCCTCCGGCCACCTGCACTCACCAAGCGAAACGCAGAGGTAAACCTCTACTTCACGCTGGTTTTCTGTGAGGTCGTGGTACCACCCCGGTTCGAGCCGGCCCATCAGTGCGACAGCAAAAGCTGCCGCGTGGCTCTACCACTGTTAAAATAAAAGATATATCTAACATAAAAAATGTTGAAACTGAAATGTATACTTTAATCCGTTTGTATGTATCCGTTTGTATCCGTTTGTATTAAATCTATGTATTAAAATTTGTATTAAATATATGTATTGTATCCGTTTGTATTAAATCCTGTTGTATGTTAACAATTACTGTATAATAGAAATAATTTAAATGCGAACTTAAATTATTTCTATTCTATTATGTACATTAGTCAAGTCGATGGATGCAGGATGGATTTACATGGTAGAACCAAGCTGCAATTATATTATGGTTGTAGAACAAATGGGTCGGCTCGATCGGGAAAGGACCACAGACAGAACACTAGCGTAAAATTACAGCTTAACGCTTCCGTATTTCGTATTCGTTTGGACTGGAAACGAGGCATTCTATCTTAGTCCTCAGGAGTGACAACGCATCTGCAATTTGAGTCTTAATCAAGTATATATGTAGATGTTTATGTGCCACAGTCTCCACTTACCATCAGGAGGAGTGTGTGCTCGTTTGTCACCAGTATACTATAAAAAAGTGGCTCAGGATTGTGTTTGGTGGCACTCCTAGGGGGAGGCCTATGTTTCACAATGTTCTTGTAATGATGATAATGTGTATTTCAGAGTCTACTACTATAGAATTATCTGATATTGTGTTCATATTTTTAATTATCCTTTATCTCATCTTCGTTGTTAACTGTTACCAGACTAATTATATCTTTAAAGTTAAAGTGACAGCGTATTATAGCCCACTGCTGTGCACAGGTCTCCCCTCAGTTTTGAGAGGGTTTTAGGGTAAGTAAATGTCCGCCGCGCTGACCCAATGCGTGCTGGTGAACTTCACGTCTTCGAAATAATTTTTCTTATTTCTCAGACATGCAGGTCGTGAGGAACGATGTTTTCCTTCGCCGCCGAGAACTTAATAAATCAGCTCTTAAATTTGCAAATGCAATTAGCAGTTTCATTGGTACCGGCGTGGATCGAACCCGAGTTGCTTCGTCCACTTTCATTATTCCCTTCATACATGCTCTACGGTTTAGGGTACTCTTGCTCACGTACTATGCAATTTACAGCGAACCTCAGCCCCTGAGCTACCACGGCTCTTGAATATGTAGCTTTAATAGTGACCTATTTTACCGAAAGAAATAAACTAGGCAAGTTGTTTTTATTAGTATGAAATAATATTAAACTTTAATACAATTTTAGGCGGATATCAGCTGCAACAGACAAATGGCACAACGCGACTGAGGAAGATTGCAGATTATCCATCACGACCTGCCCTTTCTCGATGCTGGAAGTTTCTACGTATACAGATTTTTAGTTTAAATGTGTAACGATTTTCAAATCTCAAATCCAAATCAATTTGAATGTTTTAACATGTTATAACATTTGTAAATATTGTCGTTAATTTATTGTGCTTGTTTCATTAAAAAAAATAGATATATCTCCTCTATTTTCCCATCATTATGTAAACAACGTTTATCTACTAATATTAATCCCACCCGAATTTTTAAAATAAAAATGCTTGAATTAAAAGTAATTACGTAGAGAAAAGAGGGTTCATTTTCAACATGATATTGTTATGATGTCTACAATCACGATGAAATAATTCTTTAGTTTACAATATCATTAATGATATTCAACCAATGTTAAATTAGGTCCATATGATCTCACTTGAAGGTAACCAGTAGTGACGTCCATTTGCTTTTATATATAAAACGTTAATTTTGCTTACGTCCCATATTACAGTGCACAAATTAAAACCATTTTTTAAACAAAATATTCTTTCAATAGTCTAATAAGACCCTACGTCGATTTTATCATTCGTTTATTTTAAGAAGCAAATTTCCAATTAATAAGAACAAAAAGTTTTGTCGAATATACGAGTACAATCTGAGCACTGGACGTCTTAATCTCGTTAAGTCCTTTTAAATCACATTGATTGAGAAGACTAATCAATTATTTGTTTTTTTTTTTGACAATAACACGATGATGTTGTAATTACATTTTCAACAAAACGGAAAAAAAACTTGAAAGATTTTTTTATGAGAAATATGAATTACAGAGTAGGAACGTTTAGAGAAAATTGTTTTACATAAATGTTTCTCCGCTTTTCTCATTTAATAAACAATCCGCTTTTAAGTATGATCCTTTCCCACAATTTAACGCCTGATCGCAACGCTTGGCAAATAGATTATTTTTTTTATTAGCTGGTTCTTCATCATTTTCATCATTAGAGCCCTTCACAAGTCCACTGTTGAAGATAGGCCTCCCCCAATAAAACCTCCACCGGAGATTCCTAGCACCTGCTCCGCCGTTACTATGGTCGCCACCGTAGCCAGGAATAGCTTGGCCGCCGGGGACTGGGGGCCGTCTCTTCGTTGCTTTGATGGGGGGTATATTGCCATAGTAGCCACGCTTGGCGAGCGGGTTGGCAAACGCAGTTTTTTTATTGTTTTTTTTTCTGTTATCAGAAAGATGCTGCTGCCCATCCTCTGCCTCATTTTCCCTCTGTCGCCTCTTACGACACCCACGGGAAGATATGGGGTAATGAGTATTCTTACCCGCCACTACACGGGAAAGCTGGTTCTTATTAGAATATATTTTGTACGGACTTCAAAAAGGTGGAGGTACCCAATTCGACTGGATGTTCTATTTTATGTGTGTTACCTCATAACTTTTTTTCTGGGTGAACCGCTTTCGATGATTCTCTTTTTATTTGAAAGCTTATGCTTTTCATGTTGTCATCCTATATAAATTTGATGAAGATCTGACCAATAGTTTTTGAGTTATTATTAATAATTTAAATTGTAGTCGGTTGTACAACATTTTTAATTTTAAATTATTATTGCTTCCTTCTAATATATAATATATATTATGAGAAGCAAGTAGAGAATCAGGTATTTCTATTTGAATTGTTTACCATTTTCTTTTAACACTACCAAGGAAAAACCTATTAATTTAGGTCATTTAATTTTACACATCAGTATTCAGTACGCATTTTTCAGCTAGATCCGTTAAAATATAATTAAATTAAAAGGATGTCGTGTCATGACTCATGACTTGTAATCATTAACAACCTCACTAATAATCGTAGAAATTATCATTTAGGTACTTAAATTACTCTCTCTTTCTACTGTCATTTCGTGAAAAGAGAGTGAGCGAATTTATGCATTGCTGAAATTAACGTTGATTTTATACGTATGGACGGCATTTTGTTACAACATGGACATAATAATTTTTAACTCAAACATAACATTTCAGATATAATTTTATATTAGCAACATATATAAAATGGTTTCTTTAAGTCATCAGCTGGAGCTTTTTTCTTCTATTTTTCTTTTCGTTTCTTTCTGTAGCTTAAATTTCTCCTCCGACAAATGTTTTTTTAGATCCACGTGCATGTGCAAAAGCTTCCTCTGTAACTCTTTATTTATTTATCAGTCTTAGTACAATACCTAGACACATCTTATGGCTAAACCTTATATCTTAAAAACACGCACCTGCGATTTTATATATTGCCACAATATTTTATCTTCCTGCCTTTTCCCCCAACTTCATCAACAATATTTATTGGAATTGTAAAACATAAATACATATATAGGCATATATATATATATATATATATATATATATATATATAAATAGGAGAATAACTTGCTTACAATCGGGTTTTCTTCAAGGCAAGAGTGAAAAGGCTTTTGTTACGTTAAGACAGTGTGATTTACCATCTAGTATTAAGAAAGATCTGGCTTAGTACGAGTGAAAAAAAGAAGCATATAAAATAACCATTGGAATAGACAGTATCGCAAAATACTAATACGCTCAGGAACAACATTTTCTTGAAAATATTCAAAACGAGGTATTCCATGTTTGTTCTCATGAATGAGAACGTATATGAAGTTTATTCTTAATTGACGATAGATGAAGATGGGACTATGGGACGCAGCATCCACTTACCATCAGGTTGACTATGTGCTCGCTTGTCACCCTTAATCTTAAAAAAATGTAAAGCCATGTTCTGGGCGAGCGTAGGCCTCCACTGGTTGAACCCACCCAGCCCTGATACCATTTCAGTAATTATGTAATTTTTACTGACTATACTGAATATTTTTATGTATTTTTTACTGACTCTAAGCATGTTCTTGACCACAATCCTCTGATGGTAAACCTATAAACCTACATCACCGATAAAGCTATTAATACAACAACATAACAAAAGACTGTTTTCCTCAAAAATACCAATTGTAATTCGAGTAAAACAGAAGCCGACAAATTTACCATTCCTTTCCTGTACGGATTACTGATGACAAAGTAATCCGACAGCAATAGGAAGAAGACCCACCGAACATCTTGTTTATCCTTTGAGACTGGCCACGGTGACTACTATTATGACATTATGAATAAGATTAGGTAAACATCTAGCACTAAAATGTCATCATAAGCTATCCCCCAACATATATTTTGTTTTAACGTCGTACTAGATAGTCGCATTGCATAGTCGTCCTTTAAAAGCCTTCAAGTAAAGAGTCTATCTACTTTCTAAAAAGCTTGTAACGCGCCTGTAATTCCTCTTGTGCTATGGATGATAAGCGACAGTGATCACTTTACCATCTGGTTAGCCGTATGGTTCTATTCATCCTCTTTCCTAAAAAGATATTAAGTGAAAATAAAATAACATTACTAAACCTCTCTAACTTGTGAAACGATATTTCATCTAACATATTCTAAAACTGTGTCGCGTTATCCTTATTTATGTCCAGACACATGACAACACCAAAGCAAAAGTACACTAACACAAAGCCTGTGTAAATTTTCCAAGAAAAAGATAGTCTGTGCGTGACCTGTAGCATGTATGAGACTCACTTTATCTACTTGAGATATAAGCGGTTCACAAACAGTATCTTTTATGAGTACGCATTATTGTACCTTTGAGTCGTAAGCATGTTGCATATAAACGAAGATAAAAACCTATATCATAGAGGTTAATGTTAAAAATACATGTTTATATAAAATGAAGACGTGTTAAGCATTCTCAAAATACCCAAAATACACATCCATAACTGCTCGTTGGTGTAATGGTACTAAACGCAAGTACTGATCACAAGGTCCCGGATTCGAATCCTGGGTCTGGCTAAAAAAAATCCTATTTATGTATATCCTAATAATGTTATTTCCTTTTGTTATTGACTGCCTTGTTGGTCTAGTGGTTGTAGTAGTGCGACTGCTGATCATGAGGTTCCTGGGTCAAATCCCGGGTCGGACCAAAAAAAGTCAGTTATTGAGTTTTTCCATCAAGAAATTCTCAGTAGCTGCCCGGAGTCAGGAAGTTGGCGGCGTTTCACCCCCGTGCCTCGGAAAGCATGTAAACCCGTTGGTCCTGCGCCTGATCTCTCCCCGGTCGTGTCGGTTTACCGTCCCATCTGACTTTGAGAGTGAGGGAATAGAGAGTGCACCTGTGCTTGCACATACACTCGTGCACTATAATCCTGTCCTGCGCCGATGGCTAGTCTCCGTTGAGACTGGCCGCCGTAACCGACATTCAGTCTGGAGGACATTATTATTATAATGTTATTTCCATAGCATGATGTCACATGGAATCTTGCTATGGGGTAATGGGACTGACATTGCAACTATTTATGTTTTCAAAAAGAGAGCCATAAGAGCAATTTATAACCTAGGCCCGAAGGTATCCCTTAGAGAAAATTTTTAAGAAATAAATATATTAACCTTTACATTTCAATATATTTACGATAATTTAATGTAATAACACAAAAACAAAAACAGTTTTATTAAAAATAGTGATGTACATCCTGTAAGTACTAGAAACAAGCACAAGTTAGTTAAACCAGTTACTCGATTACAAAGAGTCAGTAATTCCTTCATGGAGCAATGTATACGCTTATACAACAAAGTCCCAGAAAATATGCAGACCTTATCTATCAAAAGGTTTAAAATATTTATTAAGCAAAAATTGTCTAGTAGGGGTTATTATACTACTAAAGAGTACATGATTGATAATAACCCTTTGGAATTTTGAATGAGGTGATCGCTACCATGCTGTCTCTAAATGTTTTCATAACAATTGTATAAAATATTATATTCTAAATTGTGCTTTTTAAAAAAAGTCCCTTTGGGTTTCTTGCTGGTTCATCCCAGAACAGAGTTTTTTTCCGAACCAGTGCTAAAATTAAAAACTGACTTTCAGTAAGTATTACTGTAATCTAAATTGAATAAATATGATTCTATTATATTCTATTCCATTCTAATCCGTTATTGAGTTTTTCTGTCGAGAAAATGCAGCGTTGTTGGTATTTCGCT